TCACATCTTTATGTTCATTACTAAGAAATGAATCTTCAGAACATGCATACCATACACATTACACAGCTTCTGAAGTAATATTTTGCTTCATGAGTACCACAAATTCATAATTGCAATGCCCTTCACAAAAATAAAGTACATGTACTACCTTTCCCATAATTGTTAAGAATATACACACAAAGAATAATTCTATCAACAAATAAAAGTTATCTACTTACACAGTGGCTCTATTTTTAATATTCCTTTACACTTTAGCGCTCTAGAAGTACTAGTACAGTGTAAGAGGAAAAAATCTGCGCAGCAAGTTTCTTTTATCTACATCTGGTCGTTACGACTGTAGCAGATTTAGAAGAACTAAATTAAACTTTTTAGAAGCTTATCTTTAAATGAAATTCCAAGTCAGAGCTCTTTGCTCCATTTATTTCACAGAAGTGGGTTTCCGAACCAATGATATATTTTGTTGAATTGTTTCATTACTAAACTGTTACTAGACATAGACAGTTATCATCCCTAGCCTTAATCCCAGTTTCTCTAGCGTTTTGTTCCAATGTATGGTTCACCTCTCCGCTCTTTATTTTTCATTCTCGGTATATTAATTTTACTCATTTTTTGCTGAAAGGTATGATGAGACTTCTCTTCTACCCCGTGAGCAATTTTTCTCATCCTAGTTTGAAAAGATTTTTATGCACCAATAATCGAAAAGTCGATCAAATTATATAATTAGTATATATAATTATATACCTTTTGTAAGAACATTTCTCTTTGTACTAATATATTTGACCATCTAATCAAGATCTTAGTTTTAAACCTACTGTATAGGGGGAAAATAACTCGCGGTGTTTATATTCGCTATATTCACGGTGTTAATAAATCCGTGAATTCAAGAAACAGTGAATAAATTGTCAATAATCTCCATGTTTTATTTGGAAATTTGAGAATAGAGTACGATAGGTTGACTACGACAGATTGATATACAGTAAAATTTGTCTAATCCGGACTCTGAGTACTCCGGATTTTTGTCCATTCCGTCTATAAATTTTAGTCCCATGCACTTCTTTAACACATTCATCAGAAAAAATTCTGTGTAGTCCGGATACTGTCTATTCTGTATTCCGATCGGCCATATTGGTCCCAACTGCTCATAATTAACGGTAATTATTTCCTCTAATACGGCCACACCTGAGTTACTTCAAAGCAATTAACACCTTTCGTGGTGGATTTGATAATCTGTGTTTACATTAGCAGTGCCAGGAAACGAACTCGGTGAAACGCGGCGGTGACACATCCCAGTTAAAAAAAAATTATTAGTATATGATTGAATTACAATTAAAAAATAATAATTTTGTTTTAACTCGATTCTTTTACCACATTATAACAAAAAAATAAATATGTACGCGATTTACAAATAAATATAAAAATCGGGATCGAAAATCGGACGCATTTCAAAATGGCGCCACAATACTGTGGGGGAAGACGTAATTTTTTACATAAAAATTAAAAGTTCAATCTAATAATAAGCACATCGTAAATAATTGTGCATTACTCTTTTTACATTGAATGAGCTCTTTGACAAGCGAAACATGATTCGCTTGATATATATATATTATAGTAGGCTTATATTATGCGTGCTCGTAGATTTTGATATAAGGTAACATTTCACCCGACTTTCAAACTTCGTGAACAAACAAGAAAATACATTCAGTCATAAGAGACTATTTTATAATTTCTAGACTCCTAAATATTGATTGATTTCATCATTTAATTATATTTCATATTATGTATAATAATGAACTTGTAAATAAACAACGAAATTTTCAACATTAAAATTTTCCTGTCTAAACCGGCCAAATTTTATGGAACCGACGGAAACCGGTTTGGACAAATTATTCTGTACATGTATATGCAGTACATGGTCGTTTCAGTAATTACGAGTAGTACTCGTCATTCAATTATTTTAATTATCACGTTTTACTTTAATTCAAATCGGCAGATGATAATTCGTGTTTGTTCCAAAGCTGTTTTAATAGCCAACGCTACATGTTTCATCAATCAAAACACGTGGGCCATGGGTTTTGATTACCCGTGCGTAACTAATGTTACCACGTGTATTTGTTACCTGCATTATCATGCATATTAGTTTTTATCAACATTTTGGTTTTAAAAAATCATTCAAATAAATATCGAACTTACTGAATATGTGGAAGATAATATTTCGGCGAACTTAATAAACACATTTACTTCCGTCCAGTGGTTTTTCGCCGCCTTGTATTGAAGATCTTGGGTGCACATGCACTCACCATAATAGCATATAGGAAATTCAATTGACGTTTAGAGTGTAGGACTTTTAATAACTTCACTTGTTTTAATTAATGTTCGATTAAATCTATCAATTTTATATAAACCTGCCCTGTTGTTCGTGAAATAAAAACAACGCTGAAGAATGTCGTTTACTTGTAGCTATTCCGCGAATTCAAGAAACCGCGATCGTGTCAGATGAGAGAAAAACGTGAAAATTACAACCCGTGAAATTAATCCCCTATACAGTACTTTATCAATATTTTACCGAACTTTAACATTTCAACAGTAAGTACTGTGTATTTAATTTTTCTCTTTTTTTATTTCTTGTGACAAGTCTTTCCCCTGAATTCCAATATTTTAGACCTGATGACCTTCACCTTGGATTTTGACACTTTCTAAAAAACATTAACCTTGAAGGATTGATGGTAGGGATTTTACATTTCAAATGTATATTACAAAGAGTCAAGGCCTTTCAGAGTACCAACACTTTTGACAAAATGACTGTGACATTCAAGTTAAACCGACTTTTGAAAAACATTGACCTTGGCATGATGGCTAGAAGGGGAGATGGTAGAATTTCTTTCATATTTCACTTGTGTATTATTGAGTTAAGTTCTTCCTTTGGGTATCAATATTTTTGACCGTTTGACTTCCATCTTGAAATTTGAGCTACTTTTGTAGAGTTTAACCTTGATTATAACTTTTGAACATTGAGCGTTTGGTGCATGTACTTTTACACCAATGTATCCTTGTGACATGAACATGCAATACAGTGTATCTAACAATTATACTAAATGTATAGTTAGGATGAGCAAGAGTGTATCTTTCAAATTTGTGAATTTCATGATACCTGTGTCAAGGGTTCTAGAAGCTTCAAGAGAATTCTGAAATCAAACATGGAAATAACAACAATAATTAAGCTCAAAAGTCTATTGAAAAAATAGAAATCTATGTAAGAGAAAACTCAGACTCCTAAAAACATCAGGTGTGGTTAAGATACCATGGACCAGTAAGCATCGCCTCTGGACTAGTCACGCCTTGACTTTTTGTATGTACATGGAGCATGTTCTTGCGTATCAAATCAATAAGGAAACATAAACCTCACATGTGGGTGATAATTTAAGGGTAGGGCCTATATTGCTTTAAGAGAGTTATGAAATCAAACCAAAACTAAGGGAAGTTTACGAAAAGTTCAATTCGTCACGTTTATCAGAAAGTTTTTCTTACGCTACGTTTTTTTTTATTTATAATATGCCTCTCGCTAAACAATCACTTACATGGAAGTGTTGTGCATCAGTCCAAATGTTTGTCCTTCACTGCTGTTAATATTTTAGGGAGAAGTAATGAAAGAATATTGATATGAACGTTTACTGCAACACGATATATATCTTTTAAAGAATTTTATAAAGTTTGATAATTCACTGAATTGACGACGGATTTTCCGTTATTTCACGATCGTGACAATAAGCACACGGCGGGTGTGACCGGTCAGCAGGGGATGCTTACTCCTCCATGGCATCTGATCCCACCCCTGATGTTTCGGGGGTCCGTGTTTGCTCTGCTCTTGTTTTGTATTGTTTTATGGACTTTGAAATTGAATACTGTTCGTTATCTCCATATCCTTCCATAGGTATGGCTATTCAACCTCATTTTGATTGTTTGGAATATCAAAAATATTTGAAACTGACATTTTGTAGAACGTCCTTCTTAGAAAGGGAACTAGGTATACGGGTATAAAGATAAACAACTGCATAACTAGATCCTAGCCCAACAAAAATACAATAAATATGTACAAACAAAATCCTGCTCTATCACCTGGGACCAGTACATACTGGTCATAAAATCTGTGTTCTTTCTTTAACGTCTGAATTATTCAAGACAGAAGGGTAGATGTTTTTAATATTGCCCCAAATCGCTTAATGCAAGATTTGGAAATCCATCAGGTAATTTTGATATTTTAAATATATAATCAGACAAAGTGTCACGGTCTGTTTTTTGCATGTTGGTCCATGGCCTGGAATTATCTTACACAAAATTTTTGAATTTTTAATATTTATGAATTTAAAACGGCAGTTGAAAGATCGGGGTTCACTAAATGTTGACTAAGGTCTTTATTGTGTAAATTCTGCTTCTGATGAAATATCATCCAAGATCAAAGAAAATAAGTTCAAAATGTGAAACAAATAGATTTAACTACATTCAACTTGAATAATGCATTCCATCCTTTATTTTAAAAAGTTCATTCATGATAAATTATAAATGTAAGTGTCCTCGGTGAGTTTTACAAATGTGGACAACTTTAGAATAAAACATGTATTATGTAACATTTTGTTATTCTGATCATCATTTCTATACCATTCTTCCTTAGTTAATAACGATTAATAGAACATTGGCATATCACTGAGATAAAAAATGAAAACATAAAGTATCTTTGAAAAAAATACTCAATCAAAAATATGTTTTGCATTATGCATTTACAGCCCCTTGATAAAGTATGCAATCATTATAAAGAATTAATTCTGAAAATTTCTTTTACAGTGCACCGCGGTGAATGGATTTCAGAAAAAAAAAACTATCCATGAAAAATATGTACATTAAAAATAAGTTTCATTTTGACTTTTTTCTTAAGTTAACGTAACAACACAGGCATTCTGCAACTCTGATAAAATATATATTTTCGTTAAAAACGAAATGAAAAAAAAAAAAACAAATATACTTAGCAATATTCTTTGCATTTTATTGATCTTCATACAATAGAAATCCTGAGAAGCTGCTTTCCCAACCAAAGCTGTTCGCTCCATGCGGAGTTCCGAGTCGAACCCAGACGGAGTCTCCGGCATTGACATGGACAATAGTCATTCCGCCTCCATTATAATACCCTCCTGGAGTGTGGCTTTGTACGAAGTGTCCACCTTTACTAACCCCTTCTACGACGAGTTCCGTGTGGACATACCCATCTAAGCTTACCACTAATTGCACGTAAAATACGTACACTCCAGAGACGTTGGGGGTGAAGACTCCTGTAGAGTGATGGTATTGGTTTCCTTGGTTTAAAATGACGCGCCCGAATATCAAAGGTTGATGAAGGGCTAGGTTTTTGAAATCCGATGGCGAGTTTGCATGGAATGCTATTCTGCGTGAAATATCTGAAAAAGAAATCCGTATTTGTTAAAAATTGAAGAAAATTTGTTTCATCAGTCTGAGAATTTTCTTCACATTTTGCCAATTGATGATATAACGCTATATCAATATAAATACCGAAAAGATACAAAGAATTGGAATATATATATTGAAGATCTTGTAAATTATAGATAAAAACAGGATATTGAATGTTGATACACATATATGTATATATTATCATAACAGTAACTTGATCTGAAGGGTCGTATCAAGTCGATTTGACAGGCGCAGATCATCAGATCAAACGAGACGCGAAGCGTTGAATTTGATCTGATAATCTGTTATGATGATAAATTTATTATATTCCCCATTTTAAACTAGCTAAATATAACAAAATAAGACTCTAGAGATATATTGTATAATATTTATCCGTAAAACAGATCATAATAACAAGGGACTCTTTGACGCGCAAGAATAATAGGGTAATGTTTGTGCGTACTGCGTCATCAGTTTCAGAGAGTGGTGATATGGATTCATAAAACCACAGCGTGTTGATCCAGAAAGTAGGATCACGACGTCCTGTGATTGCGTACAATAAACAGTAAAATTGAGTGATACTCATTGGGTATATAATAAAAAATTTATTTCCACGCTTGTTCTCCGATTTCGGAAAAGGTAAGAACTTTGCAATACAAACATTTTGCTGCAAAACCGGCCACATTTCGTGTGACTTTGGAATTACGTATTCAACATTTAGTCTTATAAAATAAATCTGTTTGTTATCAAACTACTAGACTCAATTAATAAAATACTATTATACTTTACTTTCCAGTTATACAAACAAACTTACTAGGTGGCGATGAAGGACTTGGTGTTGGATGAATCAGTAATCGTTTTATCACAGGTTTGTCGTCTTTCGGAAGGTCTCTGATGAAACCGCCGTCTGTCCTCTGCGTTTGGAAAGTTTCTTTTGACTCAGCTTCAGTTATATCTGTTTGAGGGCATTCGCATTTTTCTGGTTTTTTCTTTAAAGCATCTTCGAGTTGCTTGATTTTCTCTTTCTGGTCTGACATTTCTTTTCGCATTTCCATTAACTCCATTCGCAATGCCCGGATTTCATCAGACCAAGGTTCGCTCGATGTTCCTGCTGACCTTTCTGGGTCCTCAGATTTTATACAGGAAATGAAAAAGAACAGATTCAAGACCAAAAACACTCTCATATCTGGTTTGATTGAAACAATAGTTTGGTAAATCTCATGCACAGAATGAACACAAAAATATACTGATAAGGAGTGATAAGATACACTGCGACCTGTATTCGTTGAATAGAATTTATGTTGTATATAAATTATCATTTTTATTGTCGAGAAACGTGTTTTTTTTTTTTTTTTTTCATCTTGCACTACTATATACTGTATTATGCCTATCAAGGTATTTTTAAACCAAGTAGTATGAATATTTAAGGAATGTCTCTAATTCTTGGCCGAATTATTCGATATAACCTGGTTTGGGTAAGTTTATGCTTTATAATCCGCGAAGCAGATTATAAAAAAAGCGTTAGGCCCCTAACTGACCAAAACCAGGTACTAGAATAATTTGGCCAAGAGTTAGAGTCATTCCATATACATGTAATCTTATTTTTAAAAAAATAAGCAATTGTGGATGTAAAATTGTGTTGCTTTTTATGAGTTCAAATTTTCCGCTCAATAATGCAACCTTGGTAACTGAATAAATGGGAAGCAAGGGGAGGTAATAACTGATTCATAGACTTAGCAGCCATGATGTTTGTTTACAATTGAGATAAGATCGAGTTACATATATTAAAAATGGAAAATTTCCATGATCCCGAGGATTGGAAATGAGGGGATTGCATAGATACAAATTAATGATTCAGCCGGTTGTGAAGAGGGTGTGTCCCCATACCAAACCAGATTATACAAAATAATTTGCTTTCGTTTGTGAAAATCAACCAATGGGAGGGTAGAATACAAACAAAACTACATTATGTATATATGTGACTTACAATTATAACTATGACTGATCAGGTTCATTCAGTGAGTAGTTTATTTATTGCACAATATGACGGATTTGAAGAGATATTTCATGAGGAGATACAATATTCTAAAAGCGGTATGTGACCTACTTTAATAAATTACAATACCAGTTAATTGGATAAAATATTTTCTTCCATCTTCTTTTCAAAGAGACAAAAACGCAGATTAGAAGTTAATATTTTCTCAGATATCTGTATAATAATGATTTATGTGTGGCTATAATATTTCACACGAGGATATTATAAGAAAGTAATTCATTCTGTAAATCATTCACACTACGAATATAATTTCTAGACGCATTTTATTGACACATGCGTGCACTTTTCACAAATAAACTTTATTCTTATTTACCTTAAATAAAGCATTTAAAAACTATAATCCAGGAATAAAACTGTTTTTAAACAAGGCCAGATCTCTGTAATATACGAGGGGTTATCAAAAAGTTAGTGGACTGAGGCTATAAAATTAGTACTATGTTATCTGAGCTTACAAAATTTATAAGGTACATAAAACAACAAAACATAAAGAAATGTTGAAAATTTTAGCTTGATACGTTCATTATTTCCCAAATTATTATAAAATAAAAACGACATTATATCACCACCCGGTGCCGTCGCCGTTTAGTTTCATGACGTCCCACGACGTCATTATTTTCATTGTCCGCTTCTTCTACTTTGTAAACTTATTTTGATGAGATTCCCTAGAACTGAGTAGGCACTTCAGCCCGTCTTGTTTATATGACTTTACAATGTCATGAACAGCGGCTTGAACAATGCATATATTATTGCAAATGTATTTATACATTGTGAGAGATCCTCGCTTGATTGTTCCAGCATATTTTGTTTTTTGGAGTTCAATATAACTCAATTACATGATCAACGTCATTATTTGACGTGATTGAGTTTTCAAACCTTGACTACAAATCAATATTAACTGTTCATCCCTTTTCTTTCAGAATTCATTTTGGCATTTAAAAAAAAAGGTAATATGGATGCATATTATTTCTCCTTAGCCGGCTGTTTAAACATTTCCTAGGTGTCTACCAATTTTTCCAGGGGCAAAACTTTATAGAATGTTGGAAAAGGAGACCCCTTCCCCTATTAACGTCCTTTTCAAGGTCTTATTAGTTTAGACACTCCATGTAAAATTAACGATAAATTTTCATAGAACTTCCAGAATGAAGTAAAAATTCCATATTTTATGGAACAATAGTGTCCCAACACAGACCTGAATTAACGCGATTTTGGGATGTCAAATGTTCATATCAAAATAGTTTTGCTTAGTTACACTAAGGTCGAAAAAAACGTCGTTTTCGATGTTGCGCCGCCCGGACATACCTTTGCTTACAAAAACATTACTAATTTATTGAAAAATAAAATTTATGATTTGTGGTCTATTCTTTAAATAGAAAAGATTATGCTAACTAGGTATTTCAAAATTCAGTGATGTACCTAAAGCGGTTTTAATTTTCTGGTGCTAGTACATGAACTTTTTGATAACCCCTCGTATAGGTTATCTGGATCGTAGTTTGACCAAACTAAAAGGCTAAAACCTTAAAACTCCACTAATGCAAGGTTAAAAATATCGTTACCGTTTACACAAGAAACCCACCCGTATAATAATAAAACCGATGCATCAATCGTTCAAAATTTATGGAAAATGTATTAATAGTACTTCTATGCGGATTCATGTATACAAAAAGACAGATATACAGACAGACCCAAAAACTATATGCCCATCAATCTCAGATTACTGCAGCATAATATGACAATTCATATTCAACGCATGAGTCAATTAGATTTTATTGATCTTCATACAGTAAAAATCCAGAAAAGCTGCTCTCCCACCCAAACGCGTTAACCCCATCTGATGCCGAGAGTCGAACCCAAACGGAATCCCCTGCATTTACGTGGACGATGGTCATTCCGCCTCCATTGGCGCACGATTCCTTGCTATATACGAAGTGTCCAGTCCGCCTCACTCCTTCTACCACTAGTTCCGTGTTGACACTATGCCCATTAGCACACATAACTAGTTGCACGTAGAACACATAGACGCCAGGAACATCAGGGGTGAAAACCCCTGTGGAGTGATGGTATTTATTTCCAATGTTGGTGATGGCGTGGCCAAAGATCAGGTTATGGTGAGCAGCAAGGTTGGAGTGGTCCTTTGGAGTGTCGGCGTGGAAAGCTATTTTTGGTACAATTCCTGTGAAATGATACATACTAGCATTCAATAAACAATATATTTGTGGATTGCCATAATCATTATACTATTAAATCACAATAATTTTCGTTGTGGTTTAAATTTTCGTGGTTTTCAAGGTATGAGGAGACCCATGAATTTATATCTACCACAAAATGCAATTTTTTTGTCCCCCTCTTCAACAGTGGGGATATTAATTTGGTTCTGTCCGTCCGTCCGTCTGTCCGTCTTTCTGTCTGTCTGTAACGCTTTCGTTTCCACACGATATCTCGAGAACCCTTTGAGCTTTCGCAATGACATTCTGCATAACAAATCCCTATGGACTAAAAAAGAACCCTATTGATTTTGAGGTCAAAAGGTCAAAGTTCAAGGTCATAAATTAGCAAATACTGTCTGTTATAATACTTTCGTTTCCGCGCGATATCTCGAGAACCCTTTGAGCTTTTGCAATGAATTTTACATAACGACTCCCTGTGGCCTAAGGGAGACCCCTATAAATTTTGAGGTCAAAAGGTCAAAGTTCAAGGTCGTAAATTTATACATTCTGTCTGTATGAAACACTATCATTTCCGGGCGATATATGAAGAAGATTTTGAGCTTTTGCAAAGTAATTTTATACTAAAACTCCCAGGACCTCTCTCACCCTTCTCAAAGTGTACCTTATTAGTATTTATTGTATTACATGTCGCTATTTTTAGCACAGGGGCATGAGGAGAGTTATTACGTATAAAACAGGTTCTCGGTGGACTTTATATTCTTATTACATCTATTGCAACTGTTTAATAAAGGTTAAATAATTAGACACCATGCATTGTGTAAAATTTTGACAATATCGAACGTGAATATATACAGGTACGTGACTTCATGTTTGCATATAATGTTCGCCATTTGGAAGCGGCTCTGTGGTCTGGTGGTATGTCTCTCGCTTCACATGTGAGAGGGCCCGGGTTCGATTCCCTGTTAAACTATTCTTATTTTTTTTCGAAATACTTTTTTTTTACTAAATGATGGTATTCAGCATGTGAAATGAAAAATTTATGAATTCTGGCTTGTACAAACTCATAAAATCATCATTACAGTGTGATAAATATTCCCTGTAAAAAGAATCTTCTATATACATAATAAAGAATAAGCAATCAAACCTTTATATCCATACTGGCATATTTAATTTGCTTCAGTATACATGTATACATTTAATATAATTCTACAAATTCAGTCAAGGGGATCCCCCCCCCCCGGAACTGCGCATGGTTTACTTTTTCCTTAATCGGGGGACAAAAATTCTCTGAATTAGCTTGTTAACGGATTACTACTGAACAATTCTTCAACCACAAAATCAAATCCCAATGGATGCATTTCTCAAACCACGAAAATATGTCCCCTCGAAAACATGTGATTTTACAGTACTCAGACTAACTGGACGAGAAGCTTACACCTGAGATTAGAGAAAATAAATGTATTAAATATCAAGATAAAATGTTTATAAACTTTACTAAATAAATATAAATAAAAGTTTTGATTAGAAAAATGACATTTGATATTTTGAGATGAATTTGTGTAGGTAATTTATTGATTGCCATGCAAATCTATAAATAAAACAATAAAAAATTTGCACAATTTCCCTGCTTACAGCCAACTGTGAATCTGCGAAATGTGTCGACGGGTATTGATGCTTTACACACTATGAATGGATAAACTGTAATTTTTTTTTACATTTTTTATCATTCTGCGACAGAAGTTCGTTAATGAAAATGTGTAATCACATTGCTTTTACCGTGTTTTTCATTCGTGTTATTTGACTCCCGACTAAATTATAAAGCAGTAAAGTACCCAATTGTACTATTGTCGTTTACTGATTTTTATTTGAGAATTAAAGTAAGTACATCACTAAAAGAATAACTGTCTGTACAACAACCTTTTGTTGTAAACGACCTGGAAATGGATATGTCTGCTCATGTCTTCTTATAAAAATCCCAAGACTAGTTATTATCAAACCACTAGACTCAGGTAATAAAATAATATCATAAGGAAATGACCAGTGATATAAATAAACTCACTTGGTGGTGATGAAGAACTTGATGTTGGATGAATCAGTAATCTTCTTGTAAGAGGTTTGCTGTCTTTCGGAAGGTCTCTGATGGAACCGATGTGTATCTTCGGGTCCTTTCTTTCAGTTTGAACAGTTTCTTCTGACTCAGTTTCAGTAATCTCGCTTAGAGAACATTCGCACTTTTCTGGTTTTTTCTTTAAATCGTCTTCGAGTTGCTTGATTCTCTCTTTCAGGTCTGACATTTCTTTTCGCATTTCCGTTAGCTCCATTCGCAAAGCCCGGATTTCATCAGACCAAGGTTCGCTGGATATTCCTGCTGAGCTTTCTGGGTCCTCAGATTTGATGCAGGAAATGAAAAAGAGCAGATTCAAGACCAAAAACACTCTCATATCTGGTTTGATTGAAACAATAGTTATGTAAATCTCATGCACAGAATGAACGCTGTAGTGTATTGATAAGGAGTGATAAGAGATATTTCGACCTGTATTCGTTGACTTGCAATTATGTTGTACATAAAAATTATCATTTTATTTTCTTTAAACGTTTTCCTTTCAACTGCACTGAAATATTTTATGCCCTTTAAGATAGTTTAAACCATTTAGTATGAATATGTACAGTAACTACAATTATATTATATGAGTGATCAGGTTCAAATTATTAAGAGATATATAATAACATGTTTATCTATTGCCAAATATGACCGAATTAGAAGATATATTTCATTGGGAGATACTAAGTTCTAAAAGCGGCATGAGACTTACTTAATAAATGAAATAACTGATTTTTCAGACACAACTTCTTCTTCCATCTTCTTCGTAAAGCGACATAGACAGATATTAAATGATAGTATTTTCTCAAATTTTCTCTATAATACCATGAATACCATGATTAAAATGTAGCTGAAACATTTCAGACGAGAACATCATAGGAAACTTAATTTATCTGGAAAGCATTAAAACTACAAATTTCATGACGCATTTGACTGACACATTCGTGCACTTTTTAATAAGTAACTTTACCATTATTGTAGAAAAGTAGAAACTTTGTTGCGTATTAATGAAACATTTTAAAACTTTAATCCAGAAAAAAAACTGCTTTTAAAAGTGGCACGATCTCTGTTATAAGTATTGTTTACTTTTCAAAGGGAATGTTTAATTTCTCAAACTCCAAAAACATCATGAGCACGGAATCACAACACTGGTGGGCTAGTTTACTATTTATTGTCTCACTATTCTGGGTTTTCTGGATCATAGTTTGATCAAGGCTGAAATCTTTAAAAAAGTTTGTAAAACAACAAGGATTTTTGTTGTATTTGAGACTTTGTACTAAGAAAAGAGCATATGGATGACAAGATATCTTTTAATTTTGGAAACAGTGAGATTTCCCATGATTTTGCTACATTTTGTGTAATTTACCTTACTATTTTACCGTGTTTTAAATGTCTTAACAATTTTCTGTTACAAATGAATCGGTGTTGGATGTGCCAGTTCTCGTCGAACGATTATCCATATGCACATCTATGACCTGTAGACCATTCGCATTGCCTGGATATCGTCTGAACATGGTTCATTTGATATGCCATGCTTTCTCAGGTCCTTCGATGATATGTAGCCAATAAAAGAGAAAAATCGCTATCTTATTGACCGCCATTTCTAGTTAGATTTACAATTAAAAGGGAATCCTAATTCACACTGTGATCACCGAAACTCCTCTATAAGAATTGATAAGGATATTTTATTAATATATACAATACAGGAGTCTTAGTTTATATGCCAAACATACAAACATGTAAAAAGAAAAATGCATGACGTCATATTATCATCAGCACTTCTTAACTGTCCCCCGCTTGAAAAGTAGGGGATATTAATTTGGGTCTGTCCGTTCGATATTAATACAACAATTATAAATTTTTTTCATTGACAAGCAAAATTAGAAAAAAATTTAAAAACCGAAAGATTATGTTGTTTTGATAGTCTTGATTTTATTTAACATATGTTAGATGTATTAGAAACAAATCATAGGTAGAGGCTTTGTTGAAGTTTCCGTTGTCGATAGGTAGCGCCTTATGGAAGTTTCCGGAAGAAATATATAGCGAGAAATATCATATTTGAACCAAATGCTACACGAAAACCAGTAGGCGTATCCGATTTATGTGTTAAATTGAAGCCTGAATCGAGTTTCATTTTCCTTGCCAAAATATTAAGGCATCCCTTTAATTGACTTAAGTAATACTAGTACATGAAGAAAGCCTTTATATAAAAATACTGAATACATCTGTAAGTTGTATAGTTATGGATTACTTCCATAATGAAACGTTTGTTTTCTTCTTTTTTTTTCTCAATTGAAATTATTTAAAAGATGATAAAAGCTTTGTTTCCAGGGATACATTCTGTACTCAGTCTAATTATTACAAACGATTATAAACGATCACATTTTTATTAAAAAAAAATAATGGGACTCTGAAAATAGTAAAATTAATTTTAAAAATTTGGAAAAAAATTTAATCGGCATTCGATCCTCTTCTAAAAATCAGCCGATATAAAATATGCACAGAAAAAAGAGGCATGAAAAATCTTGACAATTAGCACAAATTGGAAATTATATCTAATAAATTATTACTTTTTTTAAAGTTTGCTAAATTCCAATGCAAGGTATAAGTTGTAAATTTAAAATACTGTTTTAAATTTGAATTTGTCCAATTTGTTAATTATCATTTTGAGCCTTTGATAAGAAATAAAAATTGAAATACAGATGGTTACAGGCATATTGATAGAAATTTGCATACTTGTTTTTAGTAAAAAAAAAAATCAATGTATTACTTATGCGACATATTGAAGAAAGTGACAATGATTGCAATGGACAATTAAATTGTTTGTTTTACACTGACTTTTAGTGAACCTTTGAATTTTTAAAATACTAGTGGTGATGGATTAAACAACAACTTTCCTTTTCACATGTTTTTTATATCAATAATGCATGAAAAATATTTGCCAAATACTCAGTATATGGTCGTTTATACATATCGTGCAAGACTCTTTTTTAAAAAATTGTCATATACCATTTACTTATTCGAACATTTAATTGTATGAAAAGTCAACAATGTACATTTCTTAAAACTTTATTATCTTGTTTACTTGTCTTTCTTCCTGTGAGAGAAATAGTTCATAATAAACAGATGTACTCAGTATCTGTATCAAAATACAGAATGAACAGTGATCAGTCTCAAAAGAAAACGGATCCTTGAAAGTTCCGCTGCCTAGGAGAAGTAAGCATCCCCAATGACAGGTCACACCTGACCCCGTGACCCGCAGTGAGCCTACGAAACTGAAGCTCTCCGAAATTAATTAATTTACAAATTCTCTGCTCGTCCATCCGTTTTTCTCAGACTAGCCAGCTAAAGATCTATGTAAAGTACTCCAAATCAATTAATCTAAAGAATTTGAATTATCATTTTATTTTCTTTTTGAGTTGTTTGCTATAGTAGCCTTTACAGTTACCTACTTTCAGAATCAATAGAGTATGAAAGACAATTAACATAAATTTTTTTTCGTTCTGAGCACTTTTGGACGCCACGAATGGAGACAATTTGGGAGGAAATTTTGAAATTGAACTTCCTGTCTTTCAAACTGAAAATCTCAGGTTGATATTTTGAAACATACATTTGTGACATCAGTCTGGGATGTAATTGGTTTTACCATTTAGTTAAGTACTACAAAATTCAGTGTGTCTGCTTCTTCGCTGATGACATTGGACAAAGATATGCATGCTTACTTTAATATCATCATTCAATGCATTTACTAAGAAGAATTGATAAGGATTTACAGGTCAGAATGTACGAGTATCCTCGTTATACACGTGATTACAATTAAGTTACTGATTATTCAGAATCCGAGTACTAATTAGCGTTAATTAACAAAGAAGGGACCAAAAGGAAGGTGTTTAATTCAACAATCTTTGGGAAAGCATAAAATCAGGGTCATTGGTTTGGCGGATTAAAACGCTTCAATTTATGTATGCCATTGCTATATACGTAAAGATATGATTCTCGGCTTTTATACATGTAAGACTAATGATTTCCGAATCCTTTACGATATAATAAATATTTTCTTGGCTGTTGGGGATAACTATTCAGAAAGTCATTAATTTTAACAAGCTTCATTTCTTTAAGTATGATAGAATGTAGCTGCAGAACTGTAGCTTTCCGAAAAATTATATATTGATAGACCGGAGAGCTACAGTCTATCAATATAATTTTTTTCGGAGAGCTACAGTTCTGCAGCTAGATAAAATGATGTAACTTATTCCCTATATAGATCTTACGTCTTACAATCCAACATTTAAAACATATTAAAAAAAGTCACTGTAATATGCCTTTTGATTTCTTTTCTACATTGATCCAACATACATGTACATCAGGAACATATATAGCAGTCGTTAACAACCAAGCTGAAAGATAGTGAGGTTTGTATCATAGTAAAAAATTGAGACGTTATTCAAGAATCTGTTTCAGGAATCCGCTTAATAACTAATTTTCGAAAAAGTGTACTATACTAACATTAATATTGATTGTTATCGAGTTCATGACTGTTAATTGTCCATATTTTACTGTCCTGATCAAAAAAGAATAGAACATGTAAATAAAAACATAGGCGGGGGAAGCTGGGGGGGGGGGCGGCTTAGCCCCCCACTCCCCTATGTTTGCAGAGACAGAGATCATAAGGTATCAAACATTGGGGCGTAGGTTTAGACGCCCTCCTCCCCAAACTTTCAACAGGCACGTTGCAGTGTAAGTGTCGTCGAAGAAGGGTAACTGGTAGTTTTGGAAGAAAAAACTGCACTTAAAGAAGTACGATGCTACACCCCCCCCCCCCCCCTTCACTTATCCCCCACTTTCAATTTTTCTCCGACGCCAATGAAAAATATATAAATGAAAATTGACATGCTCAAGATTATGTTTCAAATTCATCGGTATCTATTAATTCATCATGTGAAGTAACCTAAAAAATGACCTTGGTCATGTGGAGTGATTTGTACAAAGATTCCTCGCAAATTGGCACATATAAAGAAGGACTTGACTCTAACGGAAAATTGACCCCAGTCCCCCAACTTTTAAAACAATCTTCGTATGTCATGTTTCTTTTTTCACGTTTAGGCACAGGGGCTTGCTCCTGGCGTTAAAAAAACCATAAACGATATACTAAAATTGTGAAGTTTTAGCATATCGTGTTTCTTTTAATAAACATTTTTTACACGCCAGGAGCAAGCCCCTGTGGTTAAGGTAAGTTGTATATTTATTTGCTTGTCAGAAAAAGTTTGGGTTGGTAATGATCCCCCGCCCTTGAAGAAAAAAATTTTCTGGATCCACTTACGATACTAGTTACTCATTGAG